TGTAGATTAATTTGCATTTTCTAGGATTTTATAAAATGGAACCCTATAGTATGTATTCTCTCTTCTTGTCTGCCTGAGATTTATTTAATTTTGCGTGAATCAATAGGTCATTCCTTTATATTACTGAGTAGTAGTTCATTGTAAGGATATATCACAATTTATTGTTGATGGGTATTTGGGTTGTTTATAGTTTTTGGCTACTATAAATAAAGCTACTATGAACTGTGACCATTCATGTATAAATCTTTGTATGAACATTTGGTTTCTCTTGAGTAAACACCTAGGAGTGGAATGACTGGATCATACACTAGGTATGTGTTTTACTTTTTTTTTTTAAGTTTTTATTTAAATTCTGGTTAGTTACCATATATGTAATACAATTTAGTGATTCAACACTTCCATAAAACATCTGGTGCTCATGAGGATAAGTGCACTCCTTAATCCCCATCACCTATTTAACCCATTTCCCCCCACCCACCTCCCTTCTGATAACCATCAGTGTGTTCTCTATAGTTAAGAGTCTGTTTTTTGGTTTGCCTCTCTCTTTTTTCCCCCTATGATCATTTGTTTTGTTTCTTAAATCCTACATATGAGTGAAATCATATGGTATTTGTCTTTCTCTGACTTATTTCACTTAGCATAATACTCTCTAGCTCCAGCCACGTCATTGTAAATGGCAAGATCTAATTCTTTTTGATGGCCAAGTAATATTTCATTGTGTGTGTATGTATATACACACACACACATACATACATATACACACTATATATATATATATATATATATATATATATATATATATTATACACACACACACACCCCCCACATCTTCTTTATCCATTTATCAGTCAGTGGTCATTTGGGCTCTTTCCATAATTTGGCTTTTGAGTGGTCATACCGTTTTACATTCCCACTAGTGGTGTGTGAGAGTTCTCGTTCCTCCACATTTTCATCAGCACTTGGTATGGTCAGTCTTTAATTTTAGACATTCTAACAAGTGTGGAGTGGCATCTCCTTGTGGTTTTAATTTACATTTTCTTTTTTTTTAAATAAAGATTTTATTTATTTATTTGACAGAGAGACATAGCAAGAGCAGGAACACAAGCAGGGGGAGTGGGAGAGGGAGAAGCAGACTTCCTGCTGAGTAGGGAGCCCAATGCGGGGCTCGATCCCAGGACCCTGGATCATGACCTGGGCTGAAGGCAGATGCTTAACAACTGAGCCACCCAGGAGCCCCTAATTTGCATTTTCTTAATGACTAATGATGTTGAGTGTTTTTTGAAGGGCTTATTTGCCATTTGTATATCTTCTTCTGAAGAGTCTATTAAAATCTTTTGCCTATTTTGGGACACAATTGGTTGTTCTTTTTTTTTTTTTAAGATTTTATTTATTTATTTGAGAGAGAGAGCACAAGCAGAGGGGAGGGGCAGAGGGAGAGGGAGAAACAGACTCCTTGCTGATCAGGGAGCCCTATGTGGGGCTCCATCCCAGATGGATGGCTCAGTTGTTAAACGTCTGCCTTCGGCTCAGATCATGACCCCAGGGTCCTGGGATCGAGCCCCACGTCGGGCTCCCTGCTCAGCAGGAAGCCTGCTTGTGTTCCCCCTGCTTGTGTTCCCTCTCTCACTGTGTCTCTCTCTGTCAAATAAATAAATAAAATCTTAAAAAAGAAAAAACAACAAAAAAAGAAATCAATAAGCTGATTCTAAAATTTCTATGGAAATGCAAAGGAGCTAGAATAGCCAAACAACTCTGAAAAAGAAGAATAAAGTTGAGAGCCAAGGCGACCTAATTTCCAGAACTATTATAAAACTACAATAATCAAAACAGTATAGTATTCATGTAAAGACAGACAAACAGATTACTGAACAGAAAAGAGAGTCCAGATATAATGCCCACATATTTATGAACAATTGATTTTTGACAAAGGCAATGCTATGGAGAAAATATAACTTTTCTAACAAATGGCACTATAACTGGAAATACATTAAGTAAAAAATGGACTTGGATCCATACTTTGTGCCATACACAAAAATTAATTCAAAATGGGTTATAGATCTAAATGTAAAATTTAAAGTATAAAACATCTATGAGAAAACACAGGAAAAGGTCTTGGTGATCCTGGATTAGATAGAGATTGCTTAGATACAAAACCAGAAGTAAATCCATAAAAGAACAAACAAATAAGTGGGAGTTAATAAAAATAAAAAACTTCTGCTCTTCAAAAGACGCTACTAAAGGAATGAAAGGAAGTCACAGACTAGGAGAAGACTTTTGCAAAGCATGTATCTGATAAAGAACTTAGATACATAATATATCAAGAACTTTCAAAACTCAATAAAAATGGTTAGGTTTGAGTCTGTCTTGTTATTTGTGTTCTCTTTGTTCCTGCTATTCGTTATTCCCTTCTACATTTTTTTTTTCCCAGCCTTCTTTTGGATTTCTTTTTATGACTCCATTTTATTTCTATCTTATTTAAAGAGATTTAAATAATTTAAAAAAAGGCCCCGGGGCGCCTGGTGGCTCGGTAGTTAGGCATCTGCCTTCCGCTCAGGTCATGATCTCCCCATCCTGGGATCGAGCCCCACATCGGTCTCCTGGCTCAGTGGGGAATCTGCTTCTCCCTCTCCCTCTCCCTCTGCCTCTCCCTCTGCTTGTGCTCTCTCTGTCTCTCTCTCAAAATGAATAAATAAAATCTTTTAATAAAAAAAAAGAAAGACCCCCTTATCCATTTACCCATGTAGTTACCATTTCCAGTGCTCTTCATTTCTTTGTGTAGATCCTTTTTTCCATCTGCTATCATTTTCCTTCTCTGTAACAGACTTCCTTTTTAACATTTCTACAGTGTGAGTGTTGTAGTATGGAAATGAAATCTTTCAGCTTTGTATGTCTAAAAATGTCTTTATATTATTTTTCATTTTGAAATATATTTTGTATTTGATAGCATTCTGGGTTGATAACTTATAGAGGGAAAAACTGCTCTTACATAAATATGCATCCTTTAGTGCATGCTGAGTCCATTAAAGCTTTTTGTTCTCCAAGCTCAGCAAACCTTTTCTTTCTCAAAAAACCAGGCTCTGATAGTAGAAGACCATGCTTTTTTTTTTTTTTTTTAATGTTGTTTATGCTAAGGCCTTTAGATAGCTAATGTAAACTAAAGCTAAATTATGACTTCTTTGTACTTGGCTGTCTTTATGGTATAAGGAAGAGTGATGGGTTCAAGGAAGCAGGAGAAGGAAAAGACCTCAGGTAGTATCTCAAGATGTTTTTCCCTGTAGTTTTTCCATCCTGAGGTTTTCCATTGCACTTAGTACTTACTTTATTAGCACTTTATATTACGCTGTCAATTCTTTATATATTTAATACTTAGTGGAGTGCTTGGTACATATTTGGATGGTTTATTTTCAGTAGCAACCAGACTATATGTAGTGGAGTCCCAGGCTAATGCTTTCATAACTGCCAAACAGTGCTTAAGATATATATTCTGTAAATACATACATGCTGCTTGGAACTAAGAAGTGGCAGTTAAATTTCTTGAGGAGGTTGGGGTTTGTTAAATAACAAAAATTCAACTGAGTAAATTTTAAAGACCTAATTTGGCTTTAATAAATGATTCATGAATTGAGCAACATCCCATTTAGCAAGTAGAGGGGAAGTTCTGAAGGGTTGTACAAAATGGAAGGTTTTTATAGGTGGGAGGGGCAAAAAAGTTATTAGCAAAAGAAAAGGATTGTTCCAGGCAAGGTTGCTTTTGCTTAGGTGGAAAAGCAAGGGGTCTTATCATGCAGTTTACCTCATCTTTGGGGGATGCAGAGGGCCCAGATGGCAGACTCAGTGGCACTGATCAAAAAATTCCTGACTAGTTAAGACTGCATTTCTTTCTAAGATTTTATTTATTTGACAGAGAGAGACACAGCGAGAGAGGGAACACAAGCAGGGGGAGTGAGAGAGGGAGAAGCAGGCTTCCTGATGAGCAGGAAGCCCGATGTGGGTCTGGATCCCAGGACTCCGGGATCATGACCTGAGCTGAAGGCAGACTATTAACCAGTGAGCCACCCAGGTGCCCCTTAAGACTGCATTTCTGAGGGAGGTTGAAACTACAATAAGATGAGGATTTAAGCCTCGGTTTGGGAACTTGGTCTAAATGACACCATTTTGGACCTGTGGTTTTCTTTTTAACAGGTTCATAAGTAGGAAATTGTCACAGGTACTCAGGAATCAGAAGTGGTGGAAGAACAGACATTGTAGGTAGACATGCATAGCTCTGCCTCCACGATGGTGGAACCAGTCTATCCTGTTAGAACATTCTTAACTCAGGTATCTTTGAATAGCTGGTCTGGTAGAAAGAAAAACAAATGTAAATCAGGAGACCGGGGTTCTAGTATCAACTCTAGATTAGCCTGCTTTGTGACCATTCACGAATTACTTAATCTTACACTTTCTCAGTCTGACATTATTAAATTCTTTCCAGCTCTAAAAACCTTTGGTTTTATTATCCAGGGGATAAATGCTATTCTTATGAAAATCCATTCTTGTTGAGAACTCTTTGGGGAAAATCATAGGAAAATTCCCCATACTAGCTAAACTTTTTAGGGAAAGTGAACTCCCAAACCCTAGATTATTTTCTTTTGATACATTAAAAATGGTAAAATTAGTGAAATTACTTTTATGCCATTTTGCCAGAGAACTGTATGTTCAGTGTTTTGTTTTTCAACATTTCCAAAAAATGACAGGTTGGAATTTTAAAGAGTGCAGGGAATTTCTTAAGCCTGAATATTGTCTAAATACAGACTTAGGAGGGAAAAAAAAAAAAAAACTGGCTGCAGAAACCCTCATGGTTTTTAAGAGAAGTTATTATTTATGCAAACATTGTCTTGGCTTAATTAAATATTTTAATTAAAAGTTACGATTCAGTGTAAGCCCTTGTCTGGCTTGAGAAAGCTGGTTGGGGCACCTTTCAGTAGCAGTGGAACTTGACTGCTCTGTGTTCGATTGGTTAGGTCTGGCTCAGTGCGCCGAACTCTGCTGGCAGCTGAGAGGAGAAGCAGGAAAAAGGCAAGTTCCTGGTGCAAAGGTTGCTCTGCAGCATAATTTAGGCATTGGAGGAGCTGTGGTTGTGACGATCTACAAGATGGGTTTTCCTGAAGCTGCCAGGTGAGTGGCATTCTGGGTTTTGTCTGTTAATGAATCCTGACTTTTCGCCGCTGATGACGTTGTACAAGTATCAAGTCCAAATTTTATTGTCTTAGTAAATATCCAGTTACTTCGCTTTGGTACCCTGGCTTTAAAACCTTTAAACTGGCAATTAGCTTTTAAACCTAACTAGCCTTAGGAAAATTGTGTTTAAAAAGGAGGCAGCATAAGGGCTCCTGGGTGGCTCAGTGGCTTAAGGGAGGGACTCTTGATCTTGATCGGAGCTCAGGTCTTGATCTCAGGGTGGTGAGTTCAAGCCCCGCGTTGGGCTCCGTGCTGGTTGTGGAGCCTACTTAAAAAAAGAAAGAGGCAGCATAGTCAAGAGAGTGCTGACCTGAAACTGCTTGGCTTAGACGTGCCAACCGGAGTGATTTTAATTTAGGCAAGTTCACTTTTTTGGTTTTCTTTCTCAAAATTGCTTTCTCCCTGAATAGCCTCCCAAGCTTCTGAGGTTGTTTGGAGAAAGTTATCAAATATGCTAATTGGGTCTCTGCACGTGTGTGTTTCTGAATGCCCTTCAGCCCTCACTGCTGCTAGAATCCCTTTTATTTGTCTCTTGCTCATTTTCTTCCTGTCCTTACCAAATGCCTGTGCTCCTCAAATCTACAAGCGCTTTCTGTTCCAAGCCTTTCAGGATCCCTGAACTTCCTTGCTCTTGTCTCAGAAGTGCTCATTCATCCTTCCCATAGACAAAAAGTCCCTCTTCCTTTCCAAGGCCTGGCTGTAGTCTTCACATGCTTTTGTTTCCAACCACGTTCTGTAACTTTGTTCCAAGTATACCCTCTCCCTTTTGGATCTTTTCATCTTTGCTTTTCTGTTAACTCCTTTCCTTCTGTTGCAAACATGGTCAGGTCTTACATATGATAAAAATTTATTTTTCTTCTTGCCTTATTTTCTGTTGTGATGAGCCTTTTATACTGGGCCACCTTTTTTTTTTTTTTTTTTTTGGCCCATGCTAAAATATCTATCTTACGGTCTATTTTTTGTCCTCACCACAGAGGTCAGGTAAGGCTACTAGTGATGTGATTATGAAATGTCCCTGTCCTTGTTTTCTGTTCTTGTTCTCTTTAACCTTGCTGTAGCTGTCAACACTAATTGGCCCCCTTTTTTCTCCTGAAATTCTTGGTAATTATTTATTTTTTCACACTTTTGGTTCCACAAAGGATATGTGACACACTTTGCAGAATCCATTATATTCTTATGTTTTACAAGCTCTAGAGTCTCTTCTGTCTGTCCTTTCACTTTTCTTTCCCTGCCTGGAATATCATTTCTATTGTGAAAATTTTATCATTGAAGGCCCATCTCTGGTATCATCTCCCTTTAAATATCCACAACACTTTGTACCTCTTGGACTCATATCCAGTTTTGGCTTAGTATATCTACATTTTTACTCCCCTATATGAAATCCTTGAGGCCTAAGGCTGTAGTGACTTCTCTCCACCCTTGTAAGAATCTCTGACATAAAGAGTGAATGTTCCTTGAATTGAATCAAATAAAAAGTTGTTAAAATGTTGAATTTTCTGGGGCGCCTGGGTGGCTCAGTTGGTTAAGTGACTGTCTTCGGCTCAGGTCATGATCCTGGAGTCCCGGGATCGAGTCCCGCATCGGGCTCCCTGTTCAGCAGGGGGTCTGCTTCTCCCTCTGACCCTCTTCCTTCTCGTGCTGTCTCTCATTCTCTCTCTCAAATAAATAAATAAAATCTTTAAAAAAAAATGTTGAATTTTCCAGTTTCCTCCTAAAGGTGATCACCAATCTGTACCGTCTTCTAGAATTTCATCCAGCTCATATTTGACATTAAAAACCCTTGGTAAGGGGCGCCTGGGTGGCTCAGTTGGTTAAGCAACTGCCTTCGGCTCAGGTCATGATCCTGGAGTCCCGGGATCGAGTCCCGCATCCTCCCTCTGACCCTCCCCCTCTCATGCTCTCTCTTTCTCTCATTCTCGCTCTCAAATAAATAAATAAAATCTTAAAAAAAAATAATAATAACAAGACACTCATTTCACCTTTATGGCTTTGAAACATTTTCAGGAACTGTGGATGGAAGACCAAATTTATCTGAGAAATATATTTTAGTCATCTAAATGACCAAATAATATTTCTTATAAGTCATTATACTGCCGGTAACCATTGCACGTGATCTGATATACTTAGTTTCTTATTTAGCTAACTTTGATGGAGCAACTGCTACATGCTTAGGCCCCCCCAAGTACGGTCCTCTGTGTATGTGGGGAAGGCAGACATAGTTTTTTCAAAACGCTGTTGAAGCCCAAAGGAAGAAATTATTATGAAGAAGGTAAATTTAAACTAGATGACTAGGATTGCCCAGCAGAAAGGTAGAGGGCAGGGTATTCCAGGCACAGAGATTTGAGATAGAGGGTTTGGTGAGTGGTTTGCACTGTGTGGATACAGAGTAGATTATTTTGTGTGTGCCTTGGTAGATGGGCAGAGTCAACAGTGTGGTGGTGACAGGAGATACAGTTGTAACTTTGAATTATGGTTTTGAAACCTTCAAATCCTCTACTCAGGAGTTTGGAACTGAGCCCACAGAATGAGTTTTATCAAAAAATCATGTGGTTATATTGCCCTTTAAGCAGATCAGTCTGGGATTACTTTGAATTGAATGGTGGAGGAACCAGAGGCCAGGAATCCTTAGGAGGCAGTTGTTAGCAGTGTGGAGAAGAAATGTTTAGTGCTGCAGTAGGAAGTGAGAAAATGAGGAGGAGAGGTCGTATTTGAGAGCTGTGACCAATTGCATTTAATTTATAGTTAAGCTTTTCTTTCCTTTAATTTAGATCACTTTTGAACAGTATTTTTTTTTTTTCTGTTACTACTTTTTGAGTTTGAGCTGTTTCTTGGATAAATTGAGGCCTGCTGTCTTAGTCTGTTCAAGTTGCTATAACAAAATTTGTCCTCGGCCCCTCAAATTCATGTCTTTCTCATGTCATCACCTCAAAATGTCATTTCTCTCTCCTCTTCACTCTTTCACTACAATCTGACTTCTACCTTCCCTCACTTCTTCAAATTGTTTTTGTCAGAGTCACCTGTACTCTCCATGGTACAAAATCCAGTGGGTATTTGACCTTTGGCAGCAGTGGACATAGTTTATTCCTCTCTCCCAGATTCTTCTCCCTTCTCAGCTTCTGCAACACCACGCTCTTCTGGTTTTTCCTTTTGTATCATTGGCTGCTGCTTCCTCTTTCAATAATGGAGTTCCATAGGAGTTCCATGTTGTCCCCATCTGGGTCCCAGGCACCACCAGCCTGCTTGTGGTATGTCAGAGGAATTACCTAACACCCTCCTCTTCCTCAGACCCCTCAAGTTTCTGTCTGTATCTAACACTTGAGGCTCTGGAGCCTTTACCAGTCATGCTATCACTTTTTACCATGGGCTACAGGCTCTGCTAGGTGCCCCCTCCTCCCCAGGATTCTGTTTAATTATGCAGAGTCATTGGCCCTCTCCACCTTTTTCCTACCTCCCCACCAGAGGTGCATAGAGGTAAAGTTATTTACTCAGAATCATATAGTTAGTGAGTGGAGGAAGCCCTTGGGATTCAAACCCAGGCCTTTGTAGCTCTAAAGACTATGTTCCTTCTGCTACATCAGGTCATTTATCTATAGTTGTTCCCTAACTATCAAACAACCAATAGCAAATGGTTGTTAAATTCGTCTCTGTGTCACAGGTAAAGTATAAATCTTGAGTCCAACCTTTGCTTATGATTCTGTTCTAATCACCATCATCTCTTACCTGGACTACTGCAGTAGCCTCTTCACCAGTCTCCCTGCTTCCCTGTTTTGCAGCCTTACAATTTTCCAGCTGGAAATTTATATATTAAAACATATAAATCAGGGGCACCTGGGCGGCTCAGTCGTTAAGCGTCTGCCTTCGGCTCAGGTCAGGATCCCAGGGTCCTGGGATCGAGCCCCGCATCGGGCTCCTTGCTCAGCGGGAAGCCTGCTTCTCCCTCTCCCACTCCCCCTGCTTGTGTTCCCTCTCTCGCTGTGTCTCTCTCTGTCAAATAAATAAATAAAATCTTAAAAAAAAAAAAGAACATATAAATTGGATCTTGCTACTCTGTAGCTTATACCATACAGTTCTTCTCATTATACTTAAAACCCAACCTCCTAACCATAATCTCTAAAGCTCCTTATTATCTTGCTCTACATGTTTCTGTGACCTTGGATCCTTTACTTCTCTGCTCTGCGCCAGTCATAGTGGCCTTCTTATAGTTCCTTTAACTGCCAAGTTAGTTTTTTCCTCAAGTGTTTTTATACTGGAAGTTTAGAACTGGCTTCCCCACCTAAATCTTTACATGGCTAGCTCATTTGCATAATTTAAGACCTAATTTAAATATCACCTCCTCAGAGAGGCCTCTCTGACCAGGCTATCTAAAATAGAACCCCCCGGGGCACCTGGGTGGCTCAGTCATTAAGCATCTGCCTTCAGCTCAGGTCATGGTCCCAAGGTCCTGGGTTCGAGCCCCGCATCGGGCTCCCTGCTCAGCAGAAGCCTGCTTCTCCCTCCCCCACTCCCCCTGCTTGTGTTCCCTCTTTCACTGTGTCTCTCTCTGTCAAATAAATAAATAAAATCTTAAAAAAAAAAATAAAATAGAACACCCTAGGGGAAGGGAGGGAAAAATAAAGTAAGACAAAATCAGGGGGAGACAAACCAAAAGAGACTCTTAACTCTAGGAAACAAACTGAGGGTTGCTAGAGGAGAGATCGGTGGGGGGATGGGGTAACTGGGTGATGGGCATTAAGGAGGGCACGTGATGTAATGAGCACTGGGTGTTATATGCAGCTGATGAATCACTGAACTCTACCTCTAAAATTAATAATACACTAGATGTTAATTTAAATAAAATAATAAAATAGAATACCCAACACACACGTATACTTTCTCTGTATCCTTTCAACCTGTCTTATTTTCTTCATTTTTTTAAAGATTTTATTTATTTATTTATTTGAGAGAGAGAAAGAGAATGGACAGGGCGGGGGTGGGTGTGGGGAGCAGAGGGAGGGGGACAAGCAGATTATGCTCTGAATGTGGAGCCTGATGTGGGGGCTGGATCTCACAACCCATGAGATCATGACCTGAGCTGAAGTCAGGGGGCTTAATCCCACAACTCTGCGATCATGACCTGAGCCGAAATCAAGAGTTGAGCGCTTAGCTGACTGAGGCACCCACGTGCCCCATTGTTTTTTTCATAGTAACCGTATTCTTTCTTTCTTTCTTTTTTTAAGATTTATTTGAGAAAGTGAGCATGTGCGTAAGAGTGGGGGGAAGGGCAGAGGGAGAGAATCTTGAAGCATACCCCCCCTCTGAGGTGGGAGCCTGACAGGGGGCTGGATCTCACAACCCATGAGATCATCACCTGAACTGAAACTAAGAGTCGGATGCTCAACTGACTGAGCCACCCAGGTGCCCCTGTATCCTTTATTTTTTTGCTTGTTCATTGTCTCTCTCCCCAACTAGCATATAAGCTTCGTGAGGATAAGTTTCTTTGGTTTACTGTATTTTTAAGGACAATACCTAGCACCTAGTGAGCATTTAATACTTGTTGAAGAAAATGGGAAGAAAAGCTTGTTTTATGGACTTAATTGTGATTTTCTTTGGGTAAGAGCCATAACATCTCTGCTCTTAAGAGTTTTTTTGAAAACTACTACTGTTAAATGTTGAAAAACCTAGTATCTGTATGATTCCATGGATTGAAATTGATTGTTTTCCCCAGTTCTTTCAGAACTCATCAAATTGAGGCTCTTCCAACCAGCTCTGCAGTTAATGGATTTAAGGCAGATGTTGTCTTTAAGGAGATTGAGAAGAAGCTTGAAGAGGTAAGTGAGATTTATATAAAATACTGCCAAGAGGACCTTGAGGCTAGAGGAAGCAGATACAGATTTCTGGTGTTACCATGAAATGATACAAATTAAAAATTTATATAATATTGTCAAGTATTGAATGTATTTTAGATTTCTGAGTGTTACTATTATAGTTTCTTTGTAATTCTGATAAGACTGCATTTCAGGGGCGCCTGGGTGGCTCAGTTGGTTAAGCGACTGCCTTCAGCTCAGGTCATGGTCCTGGAGTCCCGGGATCGAGTCCTGCATCGGGCTCCCTGCTCAGCGGGGAGTCTGCTTCTCCCTCTGATCCTCTTCCCTCTCATGCTCTCTGTCTCTCATTCTTTCTCTCTCAAATAAATAAATAAAATTAAAAAAAAAAAAAGACTGCATTTCATAGATGTACAAATCTCCACACTTGAGTTCTATAAAGAACTGTGGTAAAATGCTGTGACAATCTGAACTGTAGAGGAAAGGCTAGTCCTTGTCACTCTCCTCAGTCCTCTCTTTGTCAGGGAGATAATAATTTTGGACAAAGTTCATATGTAAAGGGATTCTCCCTTATTTTGGTGTAAATTTCCTTCTGAATTAAAAAGACCTTACTTAGAACTATTAAAAAAGAATAATATTTAAAGTGAATCTTTAGGGGCACCTGGGTGGCTCAGTTTGTTAAGCAACTGCCTTCGGCTCAGGTCACGGAGTCCTGGGATCAAGTCCCACATCGGGCTCCTGGCTCAGCAGGGAGCCTGCTTCTCCCTCTGACCCTCTCCCCTCTCATGCTGTTTCTCACTCTCTTTCTCTGTCAAATAAAAAAAATTCTTTTAAATCTTAAAAAAAAATTAAAAAAATAAAGTGAGTCTTTAAAGGTACCTAATAGGGGCACCTGGGTGACTCTGTCAGTTAAGCATCTGCCTTCGGCTCAGGTCATGATCCCAGGGTCCTGGGATCGAGTCCCACATCGGGCTCCCTGCTCAGCGGGGAGTTTGCTTCTCCCTCTCCCTTTGCCTACCGCTCCCCCTGCTTGTGCTCGTTCTCTCTCTCTCTCTGACAAATAAATAAATAAAATCTTAAAAAAAACATTCACACTGAACATATGAAAAAGAAAAATTAAAAAACTCCTGAAATTCCATTACTTAGCGTTCACTAAAATGTTAACAGTGGTAGACATTGTTTCAGACCTCTCTCTGTGTATGTGAGTATGCAGTTCTACGTAACTAGGATCATACGGTACATGTTCGGTTTTTAAATTGTATTCTGTATACAAATTTATTTTTATGTACAGTAATCAGTTCTTGATAGATAATAATCATACTAAGGCCATCTAACAGTAACTCTTAAAAAAGAGCTTTTTTTTTTTGAGAGTTCTTCTCTTTAAGCAAAATTACATATTTACATCATTGAAACCTAAAAGCATCTCGGGATATCATTACTGATTTTAATTTTCAGACTAATAAGGCACGGTTACAGCCACAGTCACACAATTCCAATTACACATCTATTAAGCTGCCCAAAGGGGGCTGAAATAAAAGGATTCAGAGCAGTTAAGCTGTGTATTTCATTTGTTCTACAGTGTGAAAGGCATACATTGTGCATATCTCCTAACTCCTTCATTGTAGCACAAAGAACTTAACATCTAAGGTGATTGCTTGCACTGTGAGTGGAAAACAGTCAGTGCGACTGATGTGTCTTGACAAAGGGCGCTGTATTTCTAGGATTTTCATGATCAGGACCTTCCTGCGGTAGAGAGGGCCAGGTTTGCCAGTTCTGGACAGGCAGGCACTGGTCCAGGAGCTGCAGATCTGTCCTGCTACCATCTTGTGGGGATACATCTGCATGGGGGGTTATAAAACCTTGTTTTATAACCTGCTTTTTTTTTTTTAAAGATTTTATTTATTTATTTGAGACAGAGAGAATGAGAGAGACAGAGAGCACATGAGAGGGGGGAGGGTCAGAGGGAGAAGCAGGCTCCCCGCTGAGCAGGGAGCCGGATGCGGGACTCAATCCAGGAACTCCAGGATCATGACCTGAGCCGAAGGCTGTCGCTTAACCAACTGAGCCACCCAGGCGCCCTTATAACCTGCTTTTTCTCTTGACAGTGTTCCATTCACATAAGTATAAATCCTTACCATCAGTTTTAATGACCACCTAGTACACTTTGAATTTATTTAATGTATCATAATCTATTTAACTAGCCTCCTATGATGAACATTGCTTGTATTTAAATTTTGCAAGTAAAGTAGTGGTATAATAAATTTCCTTTTTTACTCGTCTTTAAGTACTTAATGCCATGATCACCTTAGCATAAATAAAGGGGGAAATTGTTGAGTTGTTAGACATGTGTATTTTGCATTTTGGTATATATTGCTGAGCTATCCACCAAAAAGAGGGTACTAGTTTACAAACTTAATAACAATTCATGGGAGTGACTGTTTTTTCCTCATACCTTCTCCGGTGCTATGTGTTGCCTGGATTTTTAAAAATCTTTGCCAATCTGTGGGGCACCTGGGTGGCTCAGTTGGTTAAGCATCTGCCTTCGGCTCTGGTCATGATCCCAGGGTCCCGGGATCCAGCCCCACATTGGGCTCCCTGCTCAGCAGAGAGCCTGCTTCTCCCTCTCCCTCTGCTGCTCCCCTTGCTTATGCTCTCTCTCTTTCTATCAAATAAATAAATAAAAATCTATTAAAAAATAAAAAAAAATCTTTGCCAATCTAGTAGGAAAAGATATCTCATTGTTTTTTTTTTTTTTTTTTAAGATTTTATTTATTTATTTGAGAGAGAGAATGAGATAGAGAGAGCATGAGAGGGGGGAGGGTCAGAGGGAGAAGCAGACTCCCTGCCGAGCAGGGAGCCCGATGTGGGACTCGATCCCGGGACTCCAGGATCATGACCTGAGCCGAAGGCAGTCGCTTAACCAACTGAGCCACCCAGGCACCCCTCGAGGTTCTATAAAAGAAATTTAATTTGTAGTTAATTGCTCAGAAAAGCTTTCCCATGAGGATATGGAATAGTTTTTCCTCCTTATATGGAAAGAGAATCCTGTAGCTGATTATTTGCCCCTCATTGTTGGTTTTTTGTTTGTTTTTAAAATAATCTCTACCCCCAACATGGGGCTCAAACACCTGGCCCTGAGATCAAGAGTCACATGCTCTCCTGACTGAGCTAGCCAGGTGCCCCTCTTGTTATTGTTTAATTACCTTCATTATATATGCCACTGAACTGAAATTGGACTCTATCAGGGCTCAGCTTGAATTTTTTTTTTTTCTTGCCACCAATATTTATCTGCAGAGCAACCCATAGGATAATTGCTTCTGCCAAGTTGTCCTGTTTCTTTTTCCAATTTATTCTGTCTAAAAAAATCAAATAAAAATAATTAGTACCTGGTAAACTATATGTCAATCATTGAATACTTCATTATTGGGATTAACAAAGCAGTACTGTTTTTATTTCACAGTCTTCTTTTAGCTTTGCAATTGTATTCCTCCTGCTCCCATTTTAATTCTTTTCTCCTCCCTCCATAACCTCACTTGCGTGGACCTTGTCCCCTTATTTTCTTCCCACGATTGTAAGTTTCCTAAATGTTTGTGAGGACTAGAAAGTGAAAGTCCTGGAATCTTTTGTTAATTCATGCATTTTCTGCATTAGCAAAGGAAATCTGGCCAGAGATTTTATTTCCACTTTTGTCTGTTAGCAATACCCCATTGCCCTTCTTTGAATTCTGTCTTAACTTTTTGTTCCAATTAAGTTTGAGACAGAACCTACTCCTTGACCTTTTGCCTACTCAGAAAGAAATACTTTTTTTTCATCAAGGAGGCACTTAGAACTTTCTTAGTACTAACGATCTTTAGTTTCTCAACAAATGTGTATTTTGTTTCCTCTTTTAACTCTCTCCTTGTCCATTTCCTTACCCTGTCTCACTTCTTCAATGAAAAATGTTATTTTATAAGAGGATCAGTTCTTAAAAGTAATGGCAAGTGTAAAATTAATCTACATCTGTTTTAAGGAGGTGGGAGGAATTTCTCTCCAAGTATGCTAAGTAGAATTTCTAAGTGTTTGCTGGTGTTTTTCTGCTCTGACTTGTTGGTGTCTATTCCTGAGGCTTATGCATGCAGATGGCATGGATGCACCTAGAAATAGTCATTCATGGGCTGCTGGCCCCAAAGGAAGCCTGGCTCTTGGGTGGCCCACCACACCAGGATTATCAGCCTACTCTTTTATTTATTTTTTTGTTTTGTTTTGTTTTGTTTGTTTGTCTTTAAAAGATTTTATTATTTATTTATTTGACAGAGACACAGCGAGAGAGGGAACACAAGCAGGGGGAGTGGGAGAGGCAGAAGGAGGCTCTCCACTGAGCAGGGAGCTCAATCCTAGGTCCCTGGAATCATGACCTGAGCCAAAGGCAGACACTTAACGACTGAGCCACCCAGGCGCCCTAACCCACTCTTTTAGTGTCTTCACAGAAACTTGAGGGATAAAAGATCTCAAGGAATATGGAGAAGACTTGAACTTAAGATTCATTTATGGAGATACACTGCTTTCATAGGCTTAAGTTGCAAGTATTGATGTAACCTACTTTGCAGTATGGTATGGTCAAACAACAAGAGCATTGAATTTAAAGTTAAACCAAACTGGAACTGAGTTCTGGTTGTACTACTTACTAACCACACGTCCCTGCCCTTCAGGGAACAGAGTTTAGTGGAAAGATAGACATGGAGAGATTTTCCCAGAAAAGAAAAATACTGCTTTAACAAGAAACATGGATGCATGTGCAAAGGGCTATCAAAGTGTCCAGTACAGGTAGAAAAGCCTTCCCAGAAGAATTGGCAAGTGAACAGGGACTTGATGAGGTTGGGGTGGGAATGTGAATGGGAGGTGAGTGAGCTGGGACAGAACATAAGCATGGCCATGGAGGCACATATGTTTATGGAACTCAAGATGATCAGTATTGTTGGAACATAAAGCCTGAGGAGGATGAAAAAAGTGGCTGGATAGGAACAGATAAATATCCCTCAGATTATGAAGAATTTGAATGATATGTAAAGACGGACTTTCTCCATAGGCTCTGGGGAGCCACATTTAAGAAATTCACACCTGGAAGTGTTAGATGGCTTATGTTAGTGTTAGATGGGTTATGTTAGATAGGTTACTTGGCAACAGGATAGAAAATAGTCTGAAGGGTTCTTAACCTTTATGAGCCTCAGTTGTTTTTTCTGCTGAATGAGCTAATAATAATACCTGTCCAGCTACTTATAAGGTTTTATGGAGATTAAAGAAATAATGTATATAAAAGGATTTGAAAACTTTATAGCCCTAAAAAGATTATTGTTGTCATTAATAATTAATTTCTCCTAAAGCTAACTTAGAATAATTTGAGTGAGATATTTTAAGGGAAGCCAAAATAAGAGAATTTCTCTATAAAAATCTGACAAGAAATGTTGGTTTCTTGGTTTAACTAGGAAATATTGATAGTTAATTCCAGGACACCCACATGTAAGAAATGCTCCTGAGATTGTTGAGATAAGTAGGCCTAGACTAAATATTTTTAGAATAGCTTCTTTGGAGTCTAAGACACATGATTATTTCTGAATAGGTTCAGGTGTGTTATCTAGTATAAGAAAAAGATTGACACACCCATTAACATTAGAAAGACAAAAAAGCCTGGGATGCCTGGCTGGTTCAGTCAGAAGAGCATGTGACTCTTGATCTCAGGGTCATGAGTTTGAGCCCCACATTGGGTGTAGAGGTTACTAAAAAAAAATTAAATAAACTTAAAAAAATAAAATAAAAAGACAAGTCTGTGGGGTGTGGAAAAATTGGAACCTTCATTCATTGCTGGTAGGATCGTAACATAGTGTGGCTACTTTAGAGAACAGTTTGGTAGTTTGTCATAAAGTTAAACATCACCTTATGACCCAGCAATTTCACTTCTAAATATATACTTAAGAAAAATTAGAGCCTGTGTTCGTATAAAAAACTTGTACACAAGTGTCCGTGGAGTATTATTCATAATAGCTAAAAAGGGCAAGCAACCAGCAGCTGATGAATGACTAAATGAAATGTGCCGCATCCATACAATGGAATGTTATTTTGTCATAAAAAAGGAATGAATTACTGATACATACTTCAGCATGGATTGGATGAACCTGAAAAACATTTTGCTAAGTGAAAGTCACAAAAGACCTTGTATTGTGTGATTCCATTTATATGATATGTCCAGAATAAGCAAATCCACAGAGATCGAAAGCAGATTGGTGGTTACCAGAGGCTACTAGCAGGAGAGGAGAAGGGGGATGACTACCAGTGGCTTTGGGTTTCTTTTTGGGGTGATAAGAACATTCTAAAATTAGATAGTGGTGTTGGTTTTACCACTTTGAATATACTAAAATACCACGGAATTGTATACTTTAAAACAAACAAAACACAACAAAAAGAAAGAACTTAGGCCAGCCTCTCTGCTTACACAGAAACAGAGGTTAGTATCTGATATCAGTCTATGCAAGTTCCTCAGGGATAATAATTATTTGAGTATTTCAGGTACTTATACCACAGTGCCTAAACATATCAAACACTTAAATCTTTCTTTTAAAAGAATGAGTATTAGGCAAACCATAAGAAACTCTAGGAAACAAACTGAGGGTTGCTGGAAGGGAGGTGGGTGGGGTATGAGGTAACTGGGTGATGGGCATTAAGGAGGGCATGTGATGTAATGAGCACTGGGTGTTATATGCAGCGGATGAATAACTGAACTCTACATCTGAAATTAATGATATGTTAACTAATCAAAGTAATTGTTAACTATTGAATTTAAATAAAATAAGTTAAAAAAATAAAAGAATGAATATTATGATACCAAAAGGAAGAATCTTGTGTCTAAATTATTGCAGGAATGTAAGGCTGAAATAAAGAAGGTGGGAAATAAAAACTGTTAGAAATTATAAGAGGTAGCCAGTTCCAAAATAAACATTCAAAGATTAATATGTTTTTATATATTTGCAATAACCCATGAAATGCAATAAAAATATTAAGAGCAGTATAAAATATAAAACACCTAAGAATGAACTTGGTAAGAAATGTACAAGAGCCTATGTGGGAAAAAATTGACAAAATACTGCCAGCAGACATCAAAGAAAACTTGAAGATATACCATATTCATGGATGGGAGGATTTAATATTGTAAAGATATTCTCCCCCAAACTGATCTAACAGATTTTATGTAACCCCATGTAAATCCAACAGCATTTTGGTGGGGAGAAGAATTAACTAAATTATTATAATGTACATGTAGAGGGGGAAAATGTCCAAAACAAGTCCAACAATATTTGGAAGAGAGGAATTATAATGGGGATTTATTGTACCAAAGTATAAAGTACATTATAAAACTCTAATATTGGCACAGGAATAGCACACAGATCATAGAGTAAAATAACAACAAAAACAACAAAATGCTAACATTTATTGAGCAGTTACTCTGTGCTTTGTGGGTCTTTAAATACCATACAACTCTATGACAGTAGCTACTGGCATCTCCATTTCACAGATAAGAAGAAAACTGAAATTCAGAGAGATTTAGTAACTTGCTCTGGGTTATGAAGTACATGGCAGGAATTCAAACAAATGATGATTTCAGATTTAGTGTTAGCGATGTTTAATTCTAGGAATTTAAGCTTCAATAAACAAGGCTATGTAAAAATATTTAGTAAGAATGTTATTCACAGCATTGTTAACAAGTGCCAGAAATAAGAATTAATCTAAATATCAAGCAAGAATATTGGTTAGATGAAGTATAGTACATTTACACAAATAAAGACTGTATGTGGTCATTTAAAATTATGTTGAAGAATATTTAATGACACAGAAATGAGGATAATGATATGAAACAGGAAAGTGGATTACAAAACAATATATATAAAATGTGATCCCTGGGCGCCTGGATGGCTCAGTTGGTTAAGCGACTGCCTTCGGCTCAGGTCATGATCCTGGAGTCCCTGGATCGAGTTCCGCATCGGGCTCTCTGCTCGGCAGGGAGCCTGCTTCTCCCTCTGACCCTCCCCCCTCTCATGTGCTCTCTCTCTCTCTCTCATTCTCTCTGTCTCAAATAAATAAATAAAATCTTTAAAAAAAAATGTGATCCCATTTATGAAAACATATGGAGAGAAAAAAGATGAAGGGGATTTACATCAAAATTATTTTTTCTGAGTAGTAAAACTATGAATGATTTATATTTTCTTTTTGCTTATCAACATTTTCAATTTTGGGGGGTGCCTGGGTGGCTCAAATGGTTAAGCTTCTGCCTTTGGCTCGGGTCGTGGTCCCAGGGTCCTGGGATCGAGCCCCGCATCGGGCTCCCTGCTCGGCAGGGAGCCTGCTTCTCCCTCTCCCTCTGCTGTTCCCCCTGCTTGTGCTCTCTCGCTCTGTCAAATAAATAAATAAAATCTTTAAAAAAAAAATTTTTTTCAGTTTTTTCCACAGAAAATGTGTTTCTTTTTCTTTTTTTTTTTAAAGATTTATTTATTTATTTCAGAGAAAGGGCACAAGGGGAGGGGCAGAGGCAGAGGGAGCGGGAGAGGGAGAGAGAGAATCTTAAGCAGGTTCCACGCCCAGCGCGGAGCCTGACATGGGGCTCCATCTCCTGAGATCATGACCTGAGCCGAAATCAAGATTCGGACGCTTAACTGACTGAGCCACCCAGGCACCCCAAAAATGTGTTTCTTTAAAGAAAAGTAATTGCAGTAGAATTACCATGTTTCTGGTTTTTTTTTAAGAAAGGTATGTGAGCTTGTTGTCACCCTTTCATTTTTCACCCTGCCAGCGGCCTTAGCTTAGTCCCCTGTGCTGTCTTAGTGATCATAGTGGTCATTTACCCTTCTAACTCCTAGTTCTATATTCTCAGTGCCTAGAACAATGTCTGGTCCCAGTCATTGTTGTGATCAACAAGTATTTCCATAAGGAACGATGAAAGAAGTAGGAATGAAGGGAAGAGGGAAGGAGGAAGGAAACCAACCTACAGAGATAGGGATCTGAGGTTATTTTTTCAGTTTCATTCCTTCAAGATTCGAAAGCGATTGGTGGTTGGTATATTACTTGTATAATTCTTTATACTAATCCAGAAAATACGTTGTCGCCTCCCTTCACCCTCCCCCCCCCCCCCAGAATCAAAGACTTGTTCTCAGAACCCTTATCTTTAAGTTCTGATTGTGGGAAACCAGAAACACATGTAAAGAAATTTACCTGCAAAAAAAGAGGGAATGGGGGGTTCCTACATTTAGATAGGCCAGAGTGAATCTTTCAGAAATTATTGAGATAAAGGAAAGCTACTTCAGTAGAACGTACTGCTGTGCAACCCCTATTCTCCCTTTTCTTCCACCAGTTGTATCCGGAAAGCCATTTTTAACAAGAGATTTGGCAGATGAGGGAGTTGTTGCCTGTTGCCTTTCAGATTTTTCTGGGTAAAAGATCCTGAGGGAGCCTGGGGACTACGGCTGGCCCAGCTGCTCACATCATGTATCTATTTAAACATTCAATTTAGAGAAAAAGCCAGAGAAACAAATGTAATACAACTCCCAGCGTTTTGTTGTTTTGTTTTGTTTTTCCTTCCAGGAAGGGGAACAGTTTGTGAAGAAAATCGGTGGTATTTTTGCCTTCAAGGTGAAGGACGGCCCTGAGGGTAAAGAAGCCACCTGGGTGGTGGATGTGAAGAACGGCAAAGGATCAGTGCTTCTTAACTCAGGTCAGTACAGTGATGACTTCGTTTACAGGAACACTGACAAATACACAAGGGGAAATGTGGATCTGCTTTGGTGTTTTCCAAGAGGTCTGGCTTCAGAGGTATAGGACCCTGTTAAAAGAACAAGTAAATCCTTGGGAATAGGAATAGGTCACAGCTGCCTCCTCCCAAAGATTGGGAGGCTCCATCACAGAGTTGCCAATTTTAGGTTTTAGAATTAGACAAACTTGGGTTGGGGTCCTGGCCTTGCCATTCAGATTCTGGCTTTGAACAAATTATTGAACTTCTCTGAGCCTCAGTTTTCTGATCTGTAGATGGGAATAATAAATGGTACCTATTTCATAGGGTTGATGCAAGGATTAAGAGAATTCTCTCTCTTAAGTATCCTGTAAAGCACATGCTCCAGCATATGGTTATACTGCCTTGAAAGTCCTGTCTATACTCACTGTCTCCACTTCCTCTCATCCCAGTCTTTCTTGAACCCACTCCAGTCAGCTTTTATCCGCATCACTGTTCCAAAACTATTATTGTCAAGGTCACCAGTGACCACCATGTTGCTAAATTCAGTGGTTCATTCTCAGCCTTCATGATATTATACTTCTAGACTTTCCTCTTACCCACTGGATGTTCTTCCTGGCCTCTCTTCCTATTTTCTCATCTCCAAATTTCTTAATGTTGGCATGCTCCAAGCCTCGGTTGTATCTCCATTCACTCCCTAGGGATCCCCTCTAGTCTCATGCTTTTAAAGCCATACCTACACTGATGACTCCTACATATCTTCACCATGGACCCAGCCAGTGAACTACAAGGTGTATATCCAACTGCTTAATTGACAAGTTTACTTGGATACTTGATAGGTATCCCAAAGCTAACATGTATAAACTCCCGATTTGCTCCTACTCCCCTTTAATGATGTATTCCTCCCATCATCTTCCCCATCTCCAGGATTTGGTTCTCTGTCCTACCAGATCCTTGGTCTAAAATCCTTGAGGTCCTCATTGGCTCATTTTTTTCTCATACTACATAGTCTAATCTGTCAGCAAATTCTGTTTTCTACTACCACCTTGGTCTAAGCCTCCATCATTTTTTTGCCTGGTCTCCCTGTTTCTAACCTTGCCCCCTGCAGGTTCTTCTCCACGCACCAGCTGGAGTGATCATTTTATTTATTTATTTATTTGGGAGTGATTGTTTTGAAACTTAAGTCAGATTGTGACTCTTCTCTGCTCAAAGCCATCCAAACGCTTTTAGCTCACTCAGTAAAAGCCAGAGTTCTTATACTGGCATTACATGATCTGGCCCCACTTTTCTCTGTTTTACTATACTTGCCCTTACTTTGCTTTAGTCACACTGTCCTCCTTGCCGTTGCTGAAACATAGGGTGTTCCCAATTTAGGGGCTTTCTACTATATTCCCTCTGCCTGGAATTGTCTTCCCTTAATATCCTCATGGCTTTTTCCCTCATTTCCTTTGAATCTTTGCCCAGATGTCACCTTCTCAGTGAGCCGTTCCTTAACCATAATGCTTTTATTTTATTTATTTATTTAAAAATATTTTATTTATTTATTCGACAGGGAGCGCACAAGCAGGGGGAGCAGCAGAGGGAGAGGGAGAGGGAGAAGCAGGCTTCCCGCTGAGCAGGGAGCCCAATGTGGGACTCGATCCCAGGACCCTGGGATCATGACCTGAACTGAAGGCAGACGCTTAACTGATCGAGCCACCCAGGCGCCCCAGCCTTAATGCTTTTAAATCACAGCCCTGTTAACCATTCCCTATTGTCCTTTGCTGCCTTATTTTTCTTTATAGCACTTATTGCCATCTGATATACTCTATAATATTTTACTTATTTCCTTATTATCTGTCTCCCTCACTTGAATTGTAAACTGCATGAAGACAGAGCTTTTTGCCTGTTAGGTTCACTGCTGCATCCCCATTGCCTACAATAGTACCTGATACATGGTAGGCCTTCAGTAAAAGAAATAATTTAAAAATGAACAGCAAAATAAATGAGTGATGCTTAGTAAGTATTCAGCAGGTTACATTTTGTATGTTGTATTTTATGTTTCGTTTCTCTTGTTGGAGAGAGCCTGGTGCAATTAAAAAATATGATGTGTGGGGACCACCTTTTTGGAAAGCTTAAAATACCATGCTATGAACTTTGAAAGTGATTTGATATATAATCAATCCAGTTAAAGCTTTGTAGGTAGAAAAGTGAAAGTCAGGACTGTGTTTTAAGAGGATGAAGCTGGTGCATTAGATCTGATGAATTGGAAAGGGAGAAATCAGGCACAGAGAGAGCAGTTGGGAGGATGGATGTTGCCACTGTCTAAGTGAGCAAAAAGGATAGCCTGAGTGTTGGCAGTGAGAAAAAGATGTTACATCGTAGTTACCAGTGTATTTGGGGTGAAGTTGATGGGACCTGGAAGCTATGTAGGAGAAGGAAGTCTATCAAAGATGGGAGAGTTTTGTTACCGATACATTATTGAGGGAGGTCCTGGAGGAGTGGATGATGTCAGGAGCACGGCGGGAAGGAGGGACGATATTTCTTTCTCTGAGAGGGTAGATAAATATTCAGGGGCATTTTGAGGTAGAAAGGAGGTTGGCAGAGCTTTTGGAATAGAGTTTAGAGCTTGGAGACAGGAGAAAATGTTAAGAGTGGCGTTGTTGAACAAGGAATCAACTAGAGATTCATGAAGGAAGAGGCAGTAGTAAGGGCATCTTGTGTGGGCAGCATGGTAATGTGGTGGAAAGTTCCCGAATTACGTATAGTCACTTTTTTCCCCTCAAAATCAGTAGGCAGAAAAATAACTATGAATTTGCATTTTTATGAGCTGCCACTCTGATGTGGTGTAGGAAAAAAAACTGAATGCTTCATCTAGAGTTAAGCTTTTAAAAATAAGAACTTTTGGAAAATAGTTATTTAGAATTATATTCTGATATGCGCAGGCAGATGATAAGATGATAGTAAAAAAAAAATTTCTCCTGTTTTTTGTTATTATTGTTTGTTTGTCATGGAAGATAATATGCTTATGGAAAGCTATTAAATAATTTCAAAAAACCTTACTCCCTGTGTATGTATTCTGGCCGTGAGCTCTCCCCATACTAGGTGCGCCATCCTAGACCTGAAGGGAATTTACCCTGAAGCAAGGTGATTTCTGCTGAAACTGACACTTGTTGGCAGCTAGGAGTGGCGTTGAAATGTGGACTTACCCAGTAAAAGCCACCACTGGAAATTGCCAGATCCTTTTACATCAGCCAACAAATGCCCACTTGTTAGAGATCAGCTATGTTAAAGCATTAATAACCTGTCCTAGTTTGAACTAGCATCTTAAAGAGAATTGCTAGTTCTTTTGGCATATACACAGTGTTGAGAGGTTTACTTACTGTTGACGAAGTAAGATTTCCTAAAAAGTATTTCATTTGCTTATATTGTAAGAATTTGGTAATGATTATACAGATGGTTATATTAAGGACTTTCAGATTTTCTGCATTTTCCATAATCTTTTCCTCCTGCCTAGGTGTCTTTGTCTATGAATTCTGCCACTCCCTCCTCTCCTTTAAAACAACTCATATAGCATATCTCTAGGAAGCCAACTGATTAACATGACACGTTATCTTTCATTCCTTTTATTCTGCCTTCTTAGCATCAACTTGAGTTCTCAACCCTGCCCCTTTGTGGGCAACGTGCTATAGAAGGCCTCAGCGGCTCGTATCCCTAAGGTACAATAGAAAGAGCATAGCCTTTGGAGACACCCAAACTGGGCTCAGACCACAGCCCTGTCACTTACTAGGTGTATACCTTCCCTGAGTCCAATTGTCTCATCTAAAAAATGGTGAGAATAATTTCTATCCATGGAGCTGTTGTGGGGATTAAATGAGGTATGTAAAGCACTTCAGCATAGTAAGAGCACAGTAAATCATTGCTTCCTCCCCAGTACACATAGTAAACATTAATTTTGCGTGAACATGAGAGACTTGTCTGAGACTCTGCAAAAGGGCTTGGGGAACTGAGAAAGCATCTAGATTCATCAGATACTGATGAACTGGTAAAGGCCCAATTAAAACTGAGTTGTCGGGGCACCTGTGGCTCAGTTGGTTAAGCATCCCACTCTTGATTTCAGCTCAGGTCTTGATCTCAGGGTTGTGAGTTCAAGCCCCACTTTGGGCATGGAGCCTACTTAACACAACAACAAACTGAGCTGTTCAATGTTTGTATCCTTCCTATAACAATCGGAAGCCGTAGAGCTTGGGAATAATGGGCTTTAGCAGCAAGAATCTGCTTTCAGATCTAGCTCAACCTCATTAGCTGTGTGATTGTGAGCAAGTTGTTTGATCTCTAATCCTCATAGGGTTGTTATAAAGATCAGATGAGTCCATGGGATGTGAAGTGCTCAGCATGAGAGCAATACATGCTGATAATTACAGCAGCAGCAGACTTCACTTCCTAAACTCACTTTTTTTTTTTTTTTAAGGTTGGGGGAAAGCAGAGGGAGAGGGAGAGAGAGAGAATCCTAAGCAGGCTCTGTGCTGGGCATGGACGTGAGGCTTGAGGACATGAGGCTTGATCTTAACAATCCTGAAGTCATGACCTGAGCCGAAATCAAGAGTTGAACACTTAACTGACTGAGCCACCCAGGCGCACCTAAACTCACTTTTCATATTAGGATCAAGTCCAACTATAAATCAAGTCCAGAGATCTCAATTTACTAGCTTTTTTTCTCCCTGCTCTTTGATAACGTAAATCTACATGGGAACTGAATTTTTTAGACTATAAATCCCTTCATTTTCAAAGCTTCACACATTTTTTTTTCCCTCCAATAATAAGAAAATTTTGTTAGAAGCAAAGATGGAATAGCCATTGAATCTCAATCTTTTTAGGGTCTATCCCTGAGTTCTAAGACATACAATAAAAACTTTTAGCTTTCAATCTTGTTTTAACTATTTAATAATATGGGCATGCTGTGCTTTAATAACTTACTGCTATCTTAGTCCCTTTGGGCTGCTGTA